ATATATGTATATATATGTATACATACATACAGTACTTGTTTTATATCAGGAATTGCATACACAGACATGAACAGTCAGCTCTGTTCAGTCAGCTCTACATGTGTTATGTGGCCATTAGGTCTGCCTTCTGTAACAAGCACAAAAATTGGCTGGTGCTCATGTGTGTACTACACTGAAAATAAGCTCTCCACTGCCACCATATTGTCTCACTGGGCTGCTAATGGTTTGTCTCCACTTATGCCTATGAAAGGCATCTGAAAAATATGCCAGCTGAAAAAAAAACATATCTTCATTTCTGTTTGCAAGGGCAATAAACAGACCTGAAAAGGGACAATTGCAGGATGGTGTAGCTGTGAGGCTGCAAAGTGAATAATGTGTTTGATAGAGCTGTTAATGGCACAATTATGCAAGCTCTTAACCTCTCATCATCTGTCCACTTATCTCTTCTTGTCTCATTTCCAGGAGAGTCCACATCTCTTCAGTGACGCTGGAACATTTGAAGGGCTCCTACAAAGTGGAGCCTGGTGATGGACAGAGTCGTGACCTGTACCTGAAAGAACATGGGGTGGTCACCTACCTGGTCATCAACCCCAAGGTCAGATGCTACCATAGTTCTTTACATTCAAGCACATAGTCTCAAAACAAGGTTAAAGAGATGACTCTAACACTAGAGAGAGCTGAGGGTGGGGGAGTCTGTGGATAACGAGTACCTTTTCGCTTGTTTAGTTTTTAGCAGGTAGCATCACTTCTTTGAAAAATTGGTCTGGACTTGCTTTTATAAACTGGCCGTAGCTGCCGGTTTCTGTACTCTCTTTACACTCTCATTTATTTATTTATTTATTTATGTGTGTATGTGTGTGTGTGTATGTATGTACAGTATGTATGTATTCATTCATTCATTCTTACTGATGGTGGCACTGTCAGTCACCAGGGGCAACTAGAGGTGCAATGTCACTTCAAAACATGGACTGGGGATTGAACCACCAACCTTCCAATGGGGAGATGACCATTCCACCTCCTGGTCCACAGCCATCCTAATGCAATAAATTCTAACTTTCTAGGTGTCATGATTCGGTTCTGTTTGCTTCCTGTCGTGCTTTTATTTTGACATTGCTTCCTGTTTTTGCTTCACCACAGTTTCGCTCTTTTTACTTACATGTAAAGAACTATGGTAGGGCAGTTGTCTCCTGACCAGCAAGTTGGTGGTTCGACTCCCAGTCTCCCCGCATGCCTAAGTGTCCCTGAGCAAGACACTGAACCCCGAATTGCTCCCAGTGGCTTGACTCGCGCCGGTGTGTGGCAGCCTGTCGTCATCGGTGTGTGAATGTTGTGTGTGAATGGGTGAATGGTGTATGATCTTCTGTAAAGCGCTTTGGCCAGTGCAACACACTGTGAGAACGCGCTATATAAAATACAATCCATTTACCATTTACATCATTCACATTAGTTTCACTGGCTCCCGATTGTTTGCACCTGTTTTCACCACATTATAAGCAGCCTTCCCCCACCAGTCACTTGCCAGATTGTTCTAGACTCCAGCTCTGACTCAACAGCGTTTTTTGGTTTTGGTGTTTCCTGTTTTGACCCGGATCGTGTACTTTGACAATTCTGTTCTGCCTTGCCCCCTTGTTTCGTACTGCCTACGGTGTATGAATTCAGATTTCTCTTTTGGACAACGAACTTTGGATTCCTTTGTGTGTTTGTGTGGTTGCTGGCTCTGACCCTGGACTGTATAATTGACGTGTAAGTGCGTTTTGTGTTTACACCGTGTCTTGCTTCGTTTTTGTTCTGTGTCTGTGCTCTTATTAAAGAGAGATTTGTTTTATGTATCCTTGTCTGGCACTTTAATTGAGTTCACCACGACATTATCGGCAGCTTAATGCGCCAATCCTGACACTAGGTGCATGGGTATAACCTAACTCAAACTATAATCAAATTTGAAAAAAAAACTGCTAAAAAATGTGAATTACAATAATGCAGTTTTCCACCCATTAGCATTATGTGACTATTGGGAGCCGGTTCCTCAAGATAAACAACTGGGGCACTATGTTTTCAGATGGTGCCATTAAATCATTGCAGAAGAGGGGGCCACAACCAAAGTGTCAGTCAATCATCAACAGTGAAACAGTGAAAACAATGTAGAAAACAGCATGGAAATATGAGATTTATGTTTTTGTTTGTTTGTTTCTTTATTCAACTCTATGGTGATTCATTGGTGCTAATGTGTTCTTATTTTGTCCATTTACTATCATTAACTTGGAAAACTGAAAGACCTCCTATCACTTCACAGAAAAAAATGCTGCGTGTATTTCCTGTCAGAAAATCGCCCAACATCTTAAGCTAAATAATAATAATAATAATAAAATGTATTTATAATGCACTTTCCAACTCAAAGAGCGCAAAGTGCAACAGCAATAAAATTAAAAACAAAGTCTTACACAAGCAATAGATAAACATAAGACAGACACAAGCACTCCTAGACATATAGCGCACTTCTGTCCAGCATACTGCCGTGGGAGCAGACTAAAAAACAATGGCCTACAAGACAGATAAAACAGAATAAACATTAAAAGCTTGTTTAAAAAAAATAAGTTTTTAGAGCTGACTTGAAAGCTCCTAGCTCTGTTTCAGCGTGAACATCTAGGGGTAGAGAGTTCCACAGTCTAGGGCCATGCACGGTAAAAGCGTGACCTCCCCATTTCTTATAGTGAAAAGAGGGAACCACAAGGGCGAGATGACCTGACAACCGTAGAGTTCTGCGAGGGACATATCTGGACAGGAGGTCCGATAAATACAAGGGGGCAAGGTTGTGCATGGCTTTAAACACATAAAGCAGGATCCTGAACTCCACTCTCCATTTTACCGGCAACCAATGGAGAGACTGGGGTGATATGGGCCTGCCAACGAGTGTTTGTGAGCAGACGGGCAGCCGCATTTTGCACCAGTTGGAGCCTAGCCAAGGCTGACTGGGGCAAGCCGGCATACAGGGCGTTACAGTAGTCAAGCCGGGAGGTTACAAAAGTGTGAATGGCTTTCTCTATATCCGCAGGAGACAGGAATGGTTTTACCTTGGCCTACAATCTCAGTTGGTAAAAGCTAGTTTTTACCACAGACCTAATCTGCTTATCAAAGTTAAAATTTGTATCAAATATGACACCCAAATTTTTTACAGAAGTGCCTAAGTTGGATGTGACCACAGCTGGGGCAGAGCTAATAAGAATGTATTCAGTTTTCTCTTCATTTAAATAGAAGAGATTTTGAGCTTACCAAATCTTAACCTTGCACACACAGTTCTGCAGTGAAGCAAACGAGCCTGATTCAGGTTGTACCAAAGGCATGTAAATTTGAAAATCGTCAGCATAAAAATGGAAGGAAAAATTATGCCTAGATATGATAGCGGCAAGTGGTGACAAATATAAGGAAAAGAGCAGAGGAGCCAGAATGGAGCCTTGTGGGATGCCTTAGGTCAGAGGAGCTGTGTTGGAAGAATAGTCGCCGATGATGACCGAATAGGTTTTGTTGGTAAGATATGACTTAAACCAATTTAAAACCTCACCTCCCAGGCAAAAGAGGTGCTCAAGCTTTGCAAGTAGAATAGAGTGGTCTACTGTGTCAAAGGCGGCCGATAGGTCCATCAAGGCTAGAATGACTGGGTATCCAGCATCAAGGGCTAATGCAGAAGAGATATTGAATGAAAATTTCCTAATACGGTCGAATTGAGGTTGGGCTTTTTAAGCAATGGTCTAATTACCACATGCTTAAGGGGTGCAGAAACTAAGCCCAAGCTCAGGCAGGAGTTAATGGAGATAACCACTACTAGAGGAGCAGAGTGTCAATGACTTCTTTAAAAATCCTCCCAGGGAGTGAGTCTAGAGGGGAAGAAGCGGGTTTAAGCTGGAGCACACATTTTTTAAGTTGGGCAATGGACACCTGGGCAAACGAGGTGAAAGTATGGGAGGAAAGAGCCACAGGTAGAGTATAAGGTGAAGAAAACGGGGCGCTCTGTCTAATGGTCCAAATTTTCTCACTGAAGTACATTAAAAAGTCATTGCAAATAGTATTCGAGGCTTCAACAGGTACAGCACTAGAGGGATTAATAACAGCATTAATAGTTTTAAACAACACTATCGGCTGATGCCTATTTTTCAAAATGACTGATAAATATTGAGCCTTAGCGCCGTTCACAGCTCTCTGATAAGCCTGACGGCTGTCAAAATACCTTGGGAGGCTTATAGACCGTCCTTCCTCCATTTGCGCTCTGCCTGTCTGCAGCGTCTCCAATAGGCATGAGTAGTGTCATTGAGCCAGGGGTCTGAGTAGTTTCTAATTCTTTTTCTCCTGGCCGGGGCAATAGAGTCCATAATCTGGAGACAGGTAGAGTCGAATGCAGCAAGGAGAGTCACTGGAGGCAGAGATGACATATTCCTAAAGAATATAAATTCGAGGCCAAAAAGGCCACTGCAAAGTCCGATGGTGTAGAGGATGTGATAATCCTGCGACTCTGGGCCGGGGCAGTCGGACGAGGAATGGGGTCTGCTTCTTGGACCTCAAAACGGATGACGAAATGGTCGGAAATGGCTAGGTTAGACATCACTGATAGAGACAGTCAGGCCTTGAGAAATGACCAGATCAAGCATTCCTCCTAGGTGATGAGTGGGGGAGCAAACATGAATGTTAAAATCCCCACAGATCAAAAAAGTAGTCAAATTGTGGAACAGGCGTTGATAGGAAGTCCCCAAAGTCATTAATGAAGTCTTTGGATTTGGGAGGACAGTATATGACTGCACATAGAATGGGATAGCGGAGAGTTAAAGTAAAAGTTAGGACCTCAAAGCTAGAATAGACTTTGACCGGAAGAAGGCGACATTTCAGAATATGTTTAAAAACCGATGCTAGGCCACCACCTCTCCCAGTAAGGCGAGGAGCGATGAAAAATAGACAATCGGGGGTAAAGGTTCAGAGAAACAACGGTTTTCTTCTTGCTTCAGCCAGGTTTCGGTGACCAGAAATACATCCATATCATAGGTCGTAATAAAATCATTAAGAATAAACGTCTTATTATTAAGAGACCTAACATTAAGAAGAGCAAAGCGGAGCAGGCTTAGCTTATCCTGAGATGAGTCGGTCCGGTCCACAGGCCGAAGATTCACCAGAGAAGACCGTCGATCAGAGTGTCTCACCAGCCAGGAGTAAGGACATGGGGGGTCCGTGTCAGGGCCAATAGTTTGGAGAAATCAATAGCTTTCGACCACAAACCAACCTGAGGGGTGAAGGCTCCATGGCCTTAACTTCATAGTCTGCATCGGCGATGTTAGGCAGGATTTAAGCCTACTGCGGGTTCCGGACCTTCTTCCACGTCGTCGCCGCCGGGGAGCCCAGGAAGGAAAACCATCCGGGCGTCGAAGAAATTAAGGTATCGAGATAGGCAGGGGTGGAAGCACCTTGAATTGGTAAAAACGATGTCTATTCGGACAACTGAACATAGAATTGCATATTTCCAGGAGCGTTTGGTGATCACATATCAAAGCAGGGACGACAGTAGTGGTTACAAAGACACAAAAACAGTATACAAGCAGGAGGAGCCAGCGGCAGGCCAAACACAACGGCGCCATCTTGAAAACCCCCTCCCCTCTACCAATGAACAACTCCAGGGAGCAACTTCAATGAACTGGTCCTTGGAGCTCAATCTAACATCATTATGCTAACATGCTCACAATGACTGATGACGTTGATGTTCACCGCATTAGTTTAGCATGATAGTATTCTTACAGCACTAATTAATGTCATTAATTTTTCAGGTGCTTTTGTCATAATCCTAAGTATGCACTAGTTCAAATTCTGATCTGATGATCAAACTTGTTACAGTTTATCTTTGGGGGACCATAAATAACCAACCTCAGTAGAATTTATCCTCATGAGGCACTCTATGCCATTCATCCATCTGTTGTCAATGATATTGCGCTATGAGCCACAGAACTCAATTTAATCAATTTAAAAGTTAGAGGATCAAGAAAGTTAGGAGGACTCATCCTCTGGGAACATGAATGGCTGACCTGTAGTATCCTGTAGTTCAGTACAAAACTACAAGGGGACTATTTTCAGAACCATGGACAGCAACTCTGCCTAAAACTATTTGTGATGGTCAGGTGTGCACACAAAAAACATCACACCACCTTATCAATCTGCCAAAAACACAGTGCAGCTAAACATTTGAGCATGTTGTGTAATAAAATAAAATAAGCATACAGAGAATTGGTTATAGAATGTCCACAAATGAACAGCATCTCATCAGGTGTTACGCTACTCAGAGAAGATTATGTTTGAAGTGAAATATTTTTAGCTGCATGAGCCATTGTGAGTGGACTGAAGCACTGTGCAGCTCCTCCTGCCAAACCAGGACGTAAAAGGCTGGTTAAGGACATTTGAGAGATCCGCCTCTTCTGTGAACTTTCTGCCGAGAACATCTCTATATAGAAAATTCTGTTGGCATCCTTTCCATGTTCAGTGGTTTTTGGCTTGGCAAATGAAAAGCTGTGCTTAACAGCCTTCCTAATCCTTCCATAACTTGGCTATGATACACCCACCCCCTTAAATATCTGCAGTAAGATCTTCCTTTTGCCTCCTTCGTCTACTTAATTCATAGACCTTGAGGTTCTCAGTGAAATGGTGCATGTCTTTCACAGTGGATCTTTTGGAAATACCATCACTGACACAGAGAGCCATGGTGTCTTATCAGCATTGATTTCTCTAAATGTGAATGTTTGACTCCTTTATTCTGCTTTTTTCACCTTCTGATTCTTCTCCAGAAAGCTTGACTAAGGGTTGGTAGCTTTCCCCTAAAAGATTCATATCACTTTAAAAACTCCCCTAGTTCTCAGAGTGCAAATTCACAACTCCAGGTTCTGCATAAGCTTCAGAATTTTTAAGAAAAACCTATAAACCAAATAATGTATAATTTTATCATATGTTCAGTGAACTGAAAGAACATTCACCTAGCACTCATGTGAGTAGTTAATGTAAATGATGAAGCATGTTTTGTCTGAGTGTAGAAGTCAGCTCCCGTACAATATCTCAACTGACATCTTCTCTCAAGAAAACATACTTCAATACATTTTATCAGTGGGCAAAATATTTATGTTCTGCTGAGTTGTTTTGAAAGGAGAAGTTATTTTATATCTGTTTTTTATACAAGCTGCTTTTTAAATACCTCTTTTTAAATACTTCTGTTCTCTGCAAAATGTCTCATGGGAGTTTAATGCTTACCTTGTTCGCATGTTCTTCAATTAACATTTTTTCAGATTTTTATAGTCTCTGTTTTATGGAGGCTGTGAAGCAACACTTGAGTAGAGGGACCTAATTTACTCTGGCTCCATGCACCCTTACACTAATTAACTAAACCAGCAGTTGTAGGTCTAACCTGAGCTTCTGGGTGTTTTTTAATGTGGTAATTTTCTTCTCATAACATAATGTTATTGCCTTATAGAAGGTCTCTACAAAATAACATAAGATGCTGCTCTGTGACCTTCATTTACTTTAGTGGAACTAGCTTTTCAATATCCTATCAGATATTGTGGGTGCCTGATGACATTTTCATGAAGCCCTAACTGGATCAAGGCCAAATATAGATCATGCATCACGGGGGGTATTATGCCATCTATCACTGTCATTGATTATCACTGTCAAAGTTGCACCTGCAGGAAGATGATGCAGCCATTATGGACAGTGTCTGTTTAAACTCTTATAGGCTTTTGTGTCCTGTTTGATCAGTGCCTGTCTCTATCAGCAGTTAAACTAAATCACCAGGAGTGAGGTTTGTCATCGGCCCAGATTCCATGCATAACAGACATGAAATATTTTTCCCTCTTGATAAAAATGTTGGAAAAAAAGATGATTTGAATTTGTACTGCTGTATGGTTTTATGCAGGGCAATGTTTCCATCAGTAGTACAGTGCTGCTTGTAAGAGAGAAGCACTCAGCATAAAATTCTTGACTAGAACTGTTTTAAGTATCTAAAAGCATTTACAGGTAGGTCACAGATGTCAAGAGCTGTCCACAGTTCCCAAAGCACCTGGTCCTTTTTACTTTACACTCACTGAGTGGTAACAACAGCAGATGTGTAAAAATCTGGATTACAAAGTTGCAGAGTGAAGTGTCTTTTCTGAATATATTTAAGATTATCCTGATCAGAAACATCTGAGATGTCTTTTCCTCAGCTCCTTCAGGTGAAACATCCAAACACAAACTGATTTCCAACAAAGGAGGGTGTCAATCTGTAACAAACTTCTGTGAAAGCTGCACTCATGTATCCTTGGTTATAGCTCCTCTAGGAAGCTTCCTCGCTCCTCTGTCCTTCCTACTCAGAGCAAAATTAAGAGCTTTGGGACATCTTTCATCATGATGGACTGGAACGACTTCTGGGTCAAATGAGGATCAAGGATCAATAAAATAGAATTGGGATTCACCTTCAATTTGCTTATTCACCCATTCACTCACACACTGATGGGACGGCCACTGGCGACAACATGGGGTTCAGTCTCTTGCCCAAGGACACTTCATCCTTTGGACTGAAGAAACTGGAGATAAAACCGCCAGCCCCCCATTCAGAAGACAAGCTGCTTGACCCTGTGAGCCACATCTGCCCCAAACCAGCTAGAATTTTTCACCTGTTGTTAAACTGTGGACTAGCTACTCTTCATCTTCTTTTTCAGGACATAGTATTTTGTTCACCTAAGTATCAGTGGGCGTCAAGATGCATAGCACAATGTTTAAGAAGTTTTCACAGTTTTGTAGTAACCGTCATCAAAATCAACAACTGACAACATAAGGTTAAGATCACTTGTCTGTTCCTGTTGATTTTCCACAGACTGAGAGGCACAGCCCTTTGCTGAGTGTGCGATCTCGTCCCTCTGTGGATGAGGATGAGAAGATGAGGGCATCTGTCAGAATGACCCGATACCTGGAATCCTGGGGAGCAGCCAAACCCTTTGCCAACCTCCACCATCGAGACAGCATGACAAGAGACAATGGCAAGATCAACACTACTGTAAGTACAATGCAGCAGTCTCTGTCTCTCTCTGTCTCACACACAGATATTTTCAGCTCTTCAGCTCCTTACAGTCAGAATTATTTATGGTGCGACCCTTGTTTCAGGACGTTCCAATGGGGCAGTACCACTTTCAGAGACGAGAAAGGTGAGCTAGGAGCAATATATCACTTTGTCTTTAAAAACTGTCATCACTTACTGTATAATGGACAGTTGTGTGTTAAAATCTGTCCTTCCTTCTCTCCAAATGTAGGTCCAAATCTCAGAGGAAGAGGTTTGAGGAGGAACTCAATGAGCGAATGATTCGCACCATCGATGGCATCAACTCACAGAAGTAAGCATCATGTCTGCAGCACAACCTGCTTCTGTCATTTTTCACTGCTACAAATCAGTCATTTCAGGTAAAGGTAGGAGAGGAGAAGGGACACCAAGGCCCCATTTAAAGCATCTTCAGGAGCTAAAGCTGCTGTAGTATTATAAAATAAGCCATTGTGATGAGTTATCAAACCTTCTCAATTTACCATATCAGTCAGTCAGTCAAAAAACATAAAGGGCAAAAGTGCCACAGATGCATGTAGCACAGAAATCTACTTATTCTGTGCAATGCCATATACAGTCCAAGTTTGTACTCTATATTACAGCTGTTCTTGGTATTTTACATTGCATGCCTTTAAAAATATTGCAACAACCTTGTGATCTTTCCCAAGCATGCAGTGTTTTCAGTTAAAATTCCATATTAACATCTATATGGTTATTCATGAAACAAGAAAAAGCTCTCTGGTTTGATCCACTGACAAAAGAGGCCTTATCTTTGCATGTTTCATAGATCTGTAGGGATCTTGCCTTTTTTAGACACCAGCCTGGTCCTCTGTACTGTCTGAATCTGACTGTCTCACTTGTGTTTCCAGACAGTGGCTCAAGTCTGAGGACATCCAGAGGATCTCATTGTTCTTTCATAACAAGGCTCTGGAGAAAGAGGTAGGCAAATGCATACAGAACACCAGCCAGCACTGTTCACTGGGGGAACAAATCCATGGAAAATGATACATTATGTATCAGTATCAATATGATCTGCCATATGTAGGACATAGGTTGTCCACTATACTGTATGTATGCTACAACATGTATAGGTTGATTTGTGTGTATCATACTTTTTATATTTCACATTGAGGTCTGGTATATTTTTATATTAATTCTGACTTTACTCTGGCATCTTTTGCTCCTGCTACATTACACAGCCTCATAATGCTGTACCCAAGTTTTCAATTTCCTGCCTTATCTTCTCTCAACAGTACAGATCCACAACATTGCCAGCCTTCAAGTACTATGTCACCTGCGCCTGCCTCATATTCTGCTGTATATTCATTGTGCAATTCCTCGTCTTGCCCAAGTAAGTATGCACGTCTTACAAGATCTACAGTACAGAGCCCACTCCCCCATAGCATCAGCAAAGTCCAGCTGTTTGTCACCAGCTGTCTCATCCACAGGACCACCCTGAAATCAACGAGGCAGGGGCGCAAGAAGCAGAGTGCTAAAAAGCACATTGAAATGAAAGGGCACCGTGTCTGCTAGTGATGATAGATCAGGTGAATCAAAGCGTGGTGCCTCGTTAGTGGTGAGGAGAGCAGTTCACAGTCATGCTAATTTACTGCTCTTGGGAGCCAAAGGTGTAATTCAGCATCTGAGAGGCCATTGATTTTCTAATTCACCTCTCGCTCACTCTCTTTATCTTTTTTCTTATCATTCCACACATTTAGACGTGACATCATCTGTTTTATGGCAGGGATCCTTAAATCAGACATACTTGGAAAAATGAATGCATGAACATAACTTCATTATGACGGACATAGACTGGGCTACTGTACGATCCACTGTGGTGGGTCTGAGGTACAATACATTAGGACCTTCATTATATTTATAGGGGGACTGCAGAGGGCCAAGAGGGTTTAGAGTAATGTGTGTGTGTGTGTGTGTGTGTGTGTGTGTGTGTTGCAGAACTGGTGTGCTGGGGATCTCCTTTAGCCTGGCATTCTTGCTGTTGGCTTTGATCCTGCTCCTTTGCTTTGCTGGTCACATTCTGGTTGGTTTGCATGGTTTTATCAGTAAATACACACACACACACAGCTGCATGTAGAATATGGAAAGTACAATATTTAAAACTGTAACTTCTACTTTTATAATGCATTTTTGCCTGCCAGTGTCTTTTTTAAAATCTTTTTTTAATTTCCTGTAGAATTAACTGCAATTTAATTATTCATCCATCAAAATGTGTATATTCACTTTACAAGCACGATTCTCCTGTAACTTTAGCTTTTACAAACAAGAACCTATCACATGCAATATATCCTAATACATACTGTATCTATTAGATATGCTCTATCATGAAATAAGAAACTACAGTAAATATGAGATATCTACTTGAGCAGCCTGAAAAGAAACACACACACACACACACACACACACACAAACAATTCATAACTATACATTTACAGCAGTATGCAGCACTATCTGACTTTTATTGTTCCAATACATAATTTTTATGCATTTTCTACAGAACTCCTCTCATGACTGTGGAAATTATAGAGCTAGTAGGAAGCAAGTCAGACTTACCTTCTGGACATTTTGTATTGTAGTGCTATACTTTCATAAAATAAAACTTTGACCTTTCATAACTTACTTGGCAATTAACTTCTTTTTTCACTTTAAAACCTCTGTGGAAAATTCCATTTGCACAGCTCATATAATGTTTTATGTATTTTGTTGTTTTGATTTAGTTTTTTGTTTTTTTTATTGGTATTTGCCAGATTTGGACATATTGTTATGGTAGCCCCCCTCACCAGGAGGGTGAGGGAGGACTGAGGTTGGACTCAAGTGTGCAGACCCAGGTGCTAGGGGGAAAAACATGACGATAGCAAGTAAAGAAAGAGAACACAAAGTATCAAAAGAACATAACATGAGAAAGTACGGTACTTGGATATGTAGGATATGTAGTGTAGTGTAAATGAGTGTAGCTCGTAGGTAGTGTGGTAGAGTCAAGCCAAAACGCACAGTGTCTGTCAGCGTAGCATTCTACCAACATGTACAGTCCGCGTTACTATGTTAATGTTCCGGCCAAGACGGAGCGTTTGCCAGAGGTTTATATAAGGAGGAGAAGGTAATCATCGGGATGCACCCCAGCTGTGTGCAGCGACAAACCAGTCGCTAATTACTGGAATGCAACACAGCTGAGGTGCAGAGCCCACAGGATAGAGAGAGCAGAGGAGAGAAAGACGGAGGAGAGGCAGCGGCCACTGAGTGGCCTTGACACATATAACCTATTGTTTCCTGTCTCATTTTAAGGTTATCAATATGGTAATTACTGTTTGAGTGTTGGCTTCTGTTTTTGATCTGGTGGTCAAGTCAGTCTGCAACTTTCCATTCTCCTTCATAGGAATTATATTTTTCAGATCATGTTGTTTCACTGTAAAGGTGCTAAATTTTCCACGAGTGGATGGATGGGTGTTATTTCCAAGCAGCTACAGCTGCCACATCTATTGCAAGTTTTTATAGACAATCAAAATTGATTTCTCCCTTACAAACTCATCTTCTTTCCTTTTCCTACTCAAGAGAGTATTATCATCCAATAAGTGGATCACTTCTAATTAAGGCAGAGAGTGACCTTGGGTCTGTCCTGACCCAGATATCAGCTTTAGACTCATCTTTATTCAGAACAGAGAGATAGAGGTCATGTTTGATGCATTTGTACTAACCATCATTTTATAGCTCAGTATGTTCTTAAGCTGCTGTGGTAATTGGTGAAACAGCACATAATTAAATAATGAGAGACTAACAAACTCTGAGTGTGTGCGCTTTAGCTCTGTGTGTCTGGTTGGGTTTGTGTAAGCCAGTTATTAATAGGGCACATCATAGTCAAAGGACAGGCTGTATTCATCTGTCAGAGAACGCATTACATTGTTAATATGATCAAATACATTTTTTGGAAAATACCTTTTCAAGTTAAATGGGTTTAGTTTTTGCTAAGAGCAAGCACCACTGCAACCACTGGACAGAAAATCTATAAGACCTCAAGAAAGACATTTTGTAAACCAGACACTGGCACCTGATGAAAATCAGAAGTAAAGATTTTGCTTTGTTCTTCTAGGAAGTGTTGCTACTAGTGTCACAAAGCCAAGGACTCAGCCACTTGACTATAATTTCAAATAGGAACAGACAATATCCATGATGACACCTTAAAGCAATCTTGTCACTTCTCTAGCTGATCAGGTCAATAAAGCACAGATGTGACTCTTTCCACCATGACCTCCACCATACCAGTATCCCTTTTATTCTACAGGACCCCAGAGAACAGCAATTTTCTAGTAGAATGAGAGTTTTTACAGTTCATGTCAGGGCCGCTCGGCAGCCGCTGCCTCTCCTCCGTCTTTCTCTCCTCTGCTCTCTCTATCCTGTGGGCTCTGCACCTCAGCTGTGTTGCATTCCAGTAATTAGCAACTGGTTGGTCGATGCACACAGCTGGGGTGCATCCCAATGATTGCCTTCTCCTCCTTATTTATAACGCTGACAGACGCTCAAGTTTTGCCGGAACATTAACGGACTGTACATTTTGGTAGAATGCTACGCTGACAGACACTGTGCGTTTTGGCTTGACTCTACCACACTACCTACGAGCTACGCTCATTTACACTACACTACATATCATACATATCCAAGTACCGTACTTTCCCATGTTATGTTCTTTTGATACTTTGTGTTCTCTTTCTTTACCTGCTACCATCATGTTTTTCCCCCTAGCACCTGGGTCTGCAAACTTGAGTCCAACCTCAGTCCTCCCTCACCCTCCTGGTGAGGGGGACTACCATAACAGTGAGGAGTTTAACATTTTGTGTTGAGCAGAGAGGTATGCTTTGGGCCTCTATCTTTAACCTCTTGATGTGATCATCCCCTCTTTTTCCTTGCATCCTCAGCAGGGACATAAGGGGTCCTTTTGCTCTCTAACCTGGTTCCCCACTTCCTCTCGCATCATCGTCACCAATAACCCCTGGCTACGATTGGTTATCACCATGACAACCACTGCTCTCATACTGGTGATGGCCATCTTTAATATGGTGAGAAGCAAGTTACAGTGATGTGGATGTAATTTGTCCATGGGTGCACATACTGTACTGCCACTAATATATAAGATGTTTCAGCAGTAATATAGTGGGCATTTTTTGATGTTTTTAATTATTTAATTTCACTTAAGTAGGTCATACATACATAGTAGGGCAACATTAAAGCCAAATTCAGTCACCTTGAAAGATTCAAAACTTAAACACATTACAGTAACTTTTGTTTTAAGAAAATATATGACATTACAAATTACCACAGCAGGAGACATTCCAACATTAACAGTGTAATAGAAGTTGAATTTATTAGTACACAGAGCTAATATATGGTTAATAAAGAACCTTTGTACCTACTGAGACATGATGATCATACATGCATAATGTAAAGTACAATGGGATGCAAGGCTGACTATCACAGTAATGTATAACTGCTGTATTAATTTTACATGAAACACTATGAAATCATTAGATCATCATTTTGCTTTCTTTTGTCACCATTTAGTGCCATTTAGTTCACTTCCATAAACAGGGTTTCATGTAAAATATACATCAATCACTTTAGCCACACACACACAAATTGATCTCCACAACTCATGGTGTAGTTGCAAAGCTAAAATAAAATTTGTTTTACATTGTGAAGAATAAAAATAATCAAAATAGATCATAATCACCTTGGCCAAGTAGGTTACACACAAGGAATTTGTTTCCAGTACAGAACCGAGGATGCTTAGTTAGTATATTGCTGATTGAAGGTATTTCTTCTAACATTTACAGAGGGATAAACAGTAAAGCTGATATACAAAATGCCAGGAAACTATTTTTGTACTTGCATCCAAAATGTCTTTGATACTCCTAGACAGCTGAATGGTCACTGATTATAAGGACTATCCTTTTATTGTTAGCCTGATGTTGTGCTCTGCCACCTGAGACTCACACAGGAGGATGTGTACAGACATACTTGTTTGCAAATAAAAAGCTTATATAAAAAACGTGTTTCATGGACACTCACTCTAGATTTAAATTTTTTAAGAATATTTTTTGTCTTTATTTGATAGCTGGCAATCAAGAAAGAAACAGGAAACAAGGGGAGAGAGAGAGACATACACATACTGTAGGTCCCCCAGCTAGGAGCTGAATGGATGTTGCACTTATCGCCCTGAGAGATTTACATTCTGTTTCTGTGTTCTCTTAAAATTCAAGCACTTGAGTGTGGAAATAATGAATTGCCTAACACTGTAGATGGAGCCTTAATAGGGTGTGTTACCACACTCAGCTGCATCCAGCTCTGCCTATTCCTTCAGCTTTTAGTCAGAGACTGGTAAAGTCAGTAACTTGTCTTATGGGCAAATCGTCATACAGCAGATATACTTTAAATGGGTTCTGGCTGCTGTGACAGTTCACAGTTGGGTCAGACTTTTTGCCCTTTGTCCATTCTGTTTTGTTTGTTAGTTCTTTGTGGAGGATCCTGGAGGATCAATGGAAGACAACCTGACAACTGCTCCACCTGGAAATCTAACTAATGCCAGTCTGGGGGACAGCCTGGAGAAAAACGCAGGAGAGAACAAGTTTTATCTACCAGTAAGTTTAATAATAGTTCAATAATGGGAGGTAAACTACACTGGCAAGGCAGTAAATACTATGTCAAAAGTAAAGTAATGTCCACCAGGATTTTTTAAAAATAGCTCAAAGGAGTTACTATTTCTCTAAAACTGCTAAATTTGAAATCCATGTTTAAGTTGATATACCCGTTTTTACAATCTACAGTACACAGTAACATTCAGAGACATGTTCACATACGATTATTTCAAATTTTAAAAATTCCTCAAGGAAAGGTTTGTGTAAAGCTTTTAAATCGGTTAAGCTGTCATGTTCCATGCCAAGTAAACAATTCTTAAGGGAATTCTTAAGGCACAAAGCTTTTATTCATTGTCCTGTTACTGAAAGCTGTGACACTGAACAAATAAAGCCCAACTTTTCCATAGCCTTATACATACATTGTATAGGATACAACTCTCATGAAGAGCAAGTTATCTGCTGCTGAAGAAGCACAAGGCTTCACTTCTATAGAAAAGTATTTTTGGTTGCCAAGTTTTTTTTTTTACTCACTTCTTGTCTCCAGTACTTCATCTACTGCTGTATCCTGGGCCTGGTGTCATGCTCTGTGTTCCTGAGGATCAACTATGAGCTGAAGATGGTGGTGATGCTTGTTGCCTTGGTGATCTACAACATCATCATCCTCCAGACACACGCCTCTCTGCTGGATGGATTTAGCAAAGCACCGTATCCTACCGATAACCTGGATAGGTACTTGTAGAGAAGAGTAGAGTAAAGCTTTAAGTATACACATACACACTGTGTTTTTCACATACTCTCTCTACTAGACGATAATAAAGCAATGAATAGACCCACTTTAGGTCAGTGCTGCTTGACACCCTCTGAGCCTGCAGCCTGCTCACACCAGTTTTGAGGAGATCCTGTTAAAATGACTAATGAGACTGGATCCTGGTGTTCAGGGAAAGGCTAATGCTGACGTAATTATATCCCATGTGACTGTTGATCAAGTGTAGCCCCTGGAGAGGAGGCTGATGAGTGGCAAAATGAGATAAGGCAGTTTGTGTTGATGGAGCTGAATTCATTTTCCCACATTTGACTGACAGCTGGAGTTTCACAGCTGAAAAAATCCCATTACGCAAAAGTTTTCAGGGCATCAAGAGAGAGTTGAAAAATTCTGTTTTCTCACACTCACATTTCTCTATTTGTTTCTGTTCCTCACCTCAGTATATAGTTGTTGCCAAAGCAGTGGCACTTATAAATGAGAATAGTTATGCAGTGCTGGATAAAAAGGAAACAGACAAGGACTTCCTAATAAATCACTGTCACTTTTTGACAAGCATTCATTTACACATCATTACCTTGCTGTCTCGTTGCACTTTGGTCAACTTACTTTAAGTGGCTTCACCCTCCAGTGTACAGTACACCAGTAAAAGCAAGTTTATACATACAAATTCACCAAGGTATACCACCATTTTTAAGCATTTTAAATGTTTTCCTAACTCTAGGGAGATATTTAATTGTTCTGCATGCAGTACATAGTTTGCTAAATTATGAACATTGTGTCTGCCTCAGTGTTGTCAAATTAATATAGCTGTCAAAGGATAATAATGCTGATGCTGGCACTTCAACAAACGACCACACACTGACATTAAAATGAGCAGTAATGATGTTCTCTTGAAGAATACAGTTGTTTTTTTATATAATGTGTTCAAATGAATTGAAACAGGAAGGCTAGAAACATGAGAATAGTCACGTAAGCAGTCATGTAACCAGGACACTGGCAACAGTAAAAGGGAACAACGTGTAAACAAAAAACATGATGTTCCTTTGCAGATGAGGCTGGTTTGGTCTGTGGTTTTCTTACTGTCAACAATTACAGTGTGTTAGTCCATCTCTTAGTATGGTTGGACTGGCTCTCAGACCCAGTTATTCCTGTTGAAATGTATTTATTTTAAAATGGATCATAAAACACAAAAAAATATGGTTTCACTTTTTTTAAATGCTGGGCGTTTTCATAAAACACCTGGACATTTTTTAGCAAATGCTAATCAAAAAGGAGTAAGTACTGTATTTTTTGGAGACTATTTTTAACCACAAGGTGATACACATTTGATGTGCTATTGAGTATATATTATATGATTATTTCAGCATAACTCCAAATAAACTACAGCATCCATGTTCATGGTGGTGTAAAAACATGTCACCCAGTGCAACAGTGTGCCTTGCTGATATGTTTTAATAGTGAACAACAATGGCACAAAGCAATAAGACACAGTATATCAGTCTTTGGATACATAAATAGTAGCTGTTTGTGGGATCAAATCTTTGTAGGTAGTTGTATTTTTTTTTTCTTTCATGGGGCTGTGTTGATTAAGCAAATGATCTAATTGTATTTTTTCTCCCTACAGACCAGGAGTCCTGAAGGATCTAAAGACGATGGGCTCTGTGTCTCTTTTCATCTTCTTCATCACCCTACTGGTATTAGCCAGGCAGGTCAGTAGCACTGGTAAACTACAGTGATATGTAGTTACAGACTGTATTTTCTAGCCCATGTTGCCTATAAGTTAAAACCTGAGTCATTCACTACAGTTGAACCTAACTAGGCCATTTATTGGTGGTATAGCATCTTTACTGAAAATCTCTGCTTGAGGGGGAGCTTTTTCAAGGCTTCACATGAGTGGGTTTGAAATGATCTTCATTACTTTCAGAACAAAATTTGGAAGCAAGTGAACCTGCATTCAAGCATTTGGCTCAACAGTTGTTCAGCCAGCCTGGCCCACTGCCTCCATCTCCTCCCTATCCAGAGCTTCACATAAAAGCTAAACTTAGCTGACACAGATTTGGTGTGCATGTTTTATCGTTTTTGGGGAGCCATCCATCATCTCTGGCCCTGAAACAGATGTTCTGGACAGAATGAAGTCTCTGTACCCAAGAGCGGGGTATCCTCCTGAGAGCCACAGGCGGCCCAAACAGCTCCGTGTGATGTTCTCATTCTGGGTCACTGTCACCAGAAATGACAGGAGCCTCTGTGGTGGAAATTCTTTTGCTGTGTAAAACTCTTTGTTACTGTTATAACTAAGTCAAGGTCTTTAGAGAGCAATTCATCTTTATGGATGTTGTGTGGGTATAAATTAGAGCAGCAAAATGCTGCACCAATTATCATCAATATTATAATGGAAGCAGGTTAAAAGGTGTTCAGAGTGGAGTCACCCAAGGCCTTTGATGCAGACATATGGTGCCAGACATAAGAACACAAGACCTAGGAGCAGCCTGCTGTTAATAAATCTGCCTTGCAAAACTGTCATTATTGACCCTAACAAGCCCATTCCCAGCATTTATTCAGAGGGACAAGAGAGCAGGTTACTGGAACGAAGGCATCTGTAATTCATCTCTCAAGACCTGACACTTTTATAGCCCTGTTAGCTGGTTTCTAAATGCCATTTGGAATGAGCTCAGTTTCTTTTGGTCTAGTTTTGACTCCTAGAAGTACTGGAGTTCCCCTCTCCATAAGAGAAGCAAGTACCCAAACTGCACGTACACACAGTCACTTACACAGTACATATGCAGAATTCAGACCCCACTTACTTTGTGCAGACTTCACGGGGGCTCTGGAACAGGGCAATGGGTGTGAATGCATTTGCAAATAAAGAATTTCCGTTTTTAATTTGGAAACATTTTTTAAAATATGTATTTACTTTGGTTTGATGGGGTAAAAATTGCATTTTTAACCATTTCAAATTAAACTGACAACACAAAGTGTGCAAAATGTGCCAGATTCTGAATACTTTCTGGAGCAGCTACATAAAAAATGGTTTAAACTAACTTTTCTTTGCAGGCTGTAAGCTGGTCTGTATTTCCATTCCAGCCTCAGGCTACCAACACTACAGCACAAGATGTCAGCACAGAGCTGTATAGGTCTTCACTGTTGGGGGCTTCTAAATTGGCACCATAGTTTAATGTCAGGGGTGAAAATATTCAGTGCACACATATGTCATACAGACTGATAACCACACATGAAATCTATTTCACACACATCCAAACAGTGCAGGGGCCAGCCCAGAGGTAGTCTGGAGATCTGTAATAATGGTGCGTTCGGGGGATGCACCCTCCCAGGATGTTTCAACCCCGGTAGATGAGTCCTGCTTACATATGTAGATATGTTCAAAACTCCTCCAAGCATGAATAACTGGAAACTTAATAAAAGAAGTGGTGGCTGTCTTTTATGCAAATCAGTCCAATCTGCAACTCTTTCCTTGAGCAACAATAGTGGAGCTTCTCACACCGTTTCAATGTCGTCTCACTGGGACATTAATTTTCTATGAATACCAAGCATGCCCTTTAGTTTCAGTCGGTTAAGTTTTCCTAGAAATCCCATAACAGAATACAGGCAGGCTACTTCAAAGAAATGCTCTCATATCATGGACAGATTTGTGTAGCTAGAGGGCTATATGGGGGCTGATGTAGATACATTTGTGGATTCTTTGAAAAACCTCCAATCCACATCTAATAACAATTGTTACGTACAGTAACCCAAGCTTCTATGAGTATAGGCGTAGCCCTCTAAGAGCTGTTGCTATTGGGTTTATCCCTTGCGCATGTGCAGCCCTGAAGAGATTTCTTTCATGCCCTGTGCCCTGCACTGGGCTGTCCCCAATCAGGCCCGCTGTAGTGGCATAAATGCCAACGTGACCTAAGATTGGTTCCCTATGCCGGTGCTTTTTCTTCAACTGGTGGGGGTGGAGACAGCAGGGCTGCCAGTTTAGAGGGCTATGGTTCTATTTCGTATAGGCTTCGCCCTCTAAGAGCTGTCACTATTGGGATAAAAGCGCAGTTGGATGTATTCAATGCCCCGTATTGGCTCACCGCTGCCAAAGAGCATTATAAACAACATCTCAGCCTGACAATATACCCCACAATAGCAGCCCAAAGACAACATCCTCTATCCTGCATCAGGCCTTGACTGAGAAGCAGGTGCAATCATGTCCATATAACATCTGACTGCCACTGTGAGAAGGCAGAATGGCCATTCTGTTAATCAGGGGAAGAGAAGTGCATGGAAGGGCACACAGTGAGCATGTGCGCCTGACAAATGCACAGATAACGGTTTGAGTTGTGAGAGCATACAGACATTAGCTACACATAATAAAAATCAGATGCTCGTATTACGATGCTGTTCTCTCTTATTATTACTAATATTTTGAATGGAGAAGAACAAAAGCATAATAATGCTGGTATAGCCAGCCACAATCAGGCAGATGGGACTGGCAGAGGAGAACAAGAGTACAACAGAGAGCACACAGAGCGAGTGTGTGTGTGTACAGTAAGGACATACACATCAACAGCTTGCGTTGACAGCATAGCCAAGCAAGAGTACATTAGCTGACAGCTAACTGCCCGAGCGAATAACACACATGCAGTATCAGCGCCTGGTGGCAGGTGTACGCTCATGCTCCACGTCAGAGGGAGCCTCCCAATCGTGCAGAATACTCAGAACCAAGTGAACTAGTGAAAACTCGGATGTGTCTCGAAGGTAGAAGCGAGTGAAAGGACATGGGGAAGCCCAGGAGGCTACTGTGCAAATGTCCTCCACAGCCATGCCTCTGAAGAGTGCAGTGGAGGATGAAATGGCTCTCGTAGAGTGAGCGCTGATACCAGGTGGAGGATCTCTCCCCGCTGACACATATGCCTGTATGATGGCCTCACACAACCAGTGGGACAGCCGCTGCTTAGTTAGGGGCTTCCCAAGAGAGTGCTCCCTGTAATGCACAAACAACTGCTGTGTTTGTCTGACAGCTGCTGTGCAGCCTACATAATGGGACAGTGCGCACACCGTGAAGAGGGCGTGGAGCTCTTCTTATGACCCATCTCTGTGTGGGGGAGGAAAGGGAGATGACTCTGGATCAAAAAGATGATGCTATTATTTTTGGCGCATATGCAGGGTTTGGTCTCAAAACAGCTGAGCTGCCTCCTTCAAAGATAGAGAGACACGCTGGTGAGACCAAGAGTGTGCACAGATTGCCGACTCGTTTAGCCAACATCAGGGCTAAGAGGAGTGCTGTTTTCAGTGAAAGGTGTTTAAGAGAGGTCTGTGCAATGGGCTCAAAGGGGGATCCCCTGACCGAGTGTAAAACCAGAGGCAGGTCCCACTGTGGTGTCACTGAGCACACCACAGGTTGCTGTCTAGAGTAGAGTAGACTAGACTAGAGTAGACTAAACTAGACTAGACTAGACTAGACTAGACTAGAGTAGAGTAGAGTAGAGTAGAGTAGAGTAGAGTAGAGTAGACTAGACTAGACTAGACTAGACTAGACTAGAGTAGACTAGACTAGACTAGACTAGACTAGACTAGAGTAGAGTACAGTAGGTACTTTATTGATCCCACAGTGTGGAAATTTCTGTGTTACAGGAGCAATAGAGAACAGCCAACATAAAACCATAAGAACAGACACCACCATAACAGACACATAAAAACAGAACTTCATAAAAACACGGAAAGAACAGAACACCAAGCAGACCTGACATTGCCAGGAAGGCATACACTTCTGCCCCTCCCCCTCTGACCACAGACTGCTCTGTCTGTAGGATTGATTGTGGGAGTGATATCTTGTTCCTGATTTCTCTGAAATGATTGTACTGTCTTGTCTTTGGGTATTGTAGAATTGTTTTCCAGGGATCCTTGCGGTCTCTGCTGTTCTTATGGTGTCTGTTGTTTAGTCTCTACTGCTGTTGATATACAGGGGTTTTCCCCATTGTGGAACTAATTGTGAGAGTAATATTCTTGTTCTTGATTTCTCTCAAGTCCTATGTTTTGTCTTGTTTTTAGGCGCCTTTGATTTGATTCTTGGAGGTCCCTATGGTGTTTTGTTGTTCTAAAGAACTGTTCAGAGCCACCACTGTGTGGTGCAGGGGATGGGAGGGGTTATGCATGATGGATGTTAGTTTTCCCAGCATCCTTCTGTCCGCCACCTCCTCGATGGAATCCAGAGAGCAGTCCAGGACTGAACCAGCTCTCTTGACCAGCTTGTTGAGTCTCTTTCTGTCCCTGACTGTGCTACCTCCTGCCCAGCCCACAACAGCATAAAAAACTGCAGATGCCACCACAGAATCATAAAATGTCTGAAGGAGTGCCCTGCGTACACCAAAGGACCTCAGTCTCCTCAACAAGTGGAGGCAGCTCATGCCCTTCCTGTACAGGGCATCTGTGTTGTTGCTCCAATCCAGTTCATTGTTGAGGTGGACCCCAGGTATTTAAAGGTGTCCACAATCTCAATATCTGAGCTCTGCAAGCTCACCGGCGTGATGCTGGTGATTTCCACCGGGGATCAATCACCATCTCCTTTGTCTTGCTGGTGTTGAGGACCAGGTGATTTTCCTCACGCCACTCCACAAAGTCAGTAACAACCCCCCGTATTCCCCCTTGTCCCCCCCAGATACACATCCAACAATAGCAGTGTCATCTGAGAACTTTTGTAGATGACACTGGTGGGAGTTGTACTTGAAGTCCGAGGTGTAGAGGGTGAACAGAAAGGGGGAAAGCACTGTACCCTGGGGTGCCCCCGTGCTGCAGACTACCACATCCGACACACAGTCCCACACCCTCAGGAAGCATTTCACCAGTAGGTGTGTGAACACAGATCTCTCGCCAAAACCCTATGGCATAATGGAATGGCAGTAGCATAAGCTTTCACAGTAGACAGAAACCTGGCCCTGTCCACCAGGTTCTGTAAGAAAATCAACACTTGAGCCAGTGGACATGATGTGGGGGCTGTGGCTCTCTCCACACACCACTGTTGAAAAGCAGACCATTTCACCACGTAAGATGCTGTTGTTGACAGGGCTCTCACACACTGAATTGTATGCACGACCACTGGAAGCAAGCCTAGGCTCTCCAGGTGCTCCCGTTCGGGGCCAATCCCAAAGGCGCTGCCCTATTCCAGGAAACTGCTGAAACCCAGCTGGGGGGGGGTGCCCCCACCCCCGGGGACCTGCCATGGCTCGCCTGCCAGCAGCTGAACCAGTGTCAGAAACCATGTCATGCCTGTGTGCTCTGGGGCTATCAGGATGAAGTGTAACCATATGTCCTGTATGCGTGAGAGGAGATGTGAGATCAGTGGAACAGGAGGAAAAATGTAAAGGAGACCTCTGGGCCAAGGATGATGAGCGAAGGCATCCAGTCCTAGTGGAGGCTCGTCTCAAGTGCTCATTGAGAACCAGAGAGCGCACTGCGCATTCTCACGTGCTGCAAACAGGTCTGCCACAGCTTGCGAAGAGGTGAGCACCCCAAGCAGAGCTTCACCATTCGCATTTCTTGTGGGAGAAAAACCACCACTCACATGAATGAGAGGTTCGGAGACCACAGAGGGATGATGGCAGTGTTGCTGAGTCCACTGTTGTGGACAAAGCTTCGTTAGCGGTGACAATGGGGAAAGAATGATTTGTATTCAGCGCATCCCATGGCACAGACTGTGTGAGGGGAGAGCTGTGTGGTGGGGAAGCGTGTGTGTAAACAGACAGTGCAGATTCAGAAACAAAGGAAAAAGGACTGTCTGGAGAGAGCTTTTTACAGACCTGTGAATGTCCGATTATCTCCAGTGATTCACACACTTCCTGCTTCCTGCTGTTGCCCTTAGGGGGGCTCAGCGGTGAGGTTTGTCCATGTGCAGGCTACACGCCTAGCAGCTGGGGAACACTGCAGGGCAGCCTGTCTGAGGACCATGGCAGGAGGAGGAGGGGGAGGAGGAGGTGCAGTGCTCTGGGGTGGAGCGTACTGTCGCACAACAGCAGTAGCTGCTGGACATCTCAGCCTGGGCTACGCCAGTCAGACAGAGGTGGCTGAGGGTGCTGCTATCCCCATAATGCGAGTCATCTCAGATGTAACAGGTGAGTAACAGCTTTTTGGAGGTGAGAGCCAAAAGGTCCATCAGGGCTGATGGGGCCTTCCAGCAAACTTTTGCAGATCTGCGCCGGCATCTGAGACATGTGCAGCCACATGTTGCACTGGATCATCCTTGCCCAGACCTTGATGCATGCCATAGCCACTGCTGCAATGGAGGAGAGAGTCATTACTGCTGCCATGGCTTTCCCAATTTCCTCCAATGCCTCTGCGGGGAGAGCCCCAGGCTGTACAGCAAGGGAGGAAATGGATGTGGAGACGAGAGCCACATTGTTAATCACCGCACCTGCCTGGGATGCACATTGATGAATGCGGTCCAAGAGATGGGCAGTGACCTGGTTCCGTGGGGGCAGCGGAGTGGGCCACCTACTGAAGAACATTGCCTTGGGAAGCAAGGTAGAGGAGATGCTTGTTTCCCGCAGCGGAACAGATGGAAAAGCCAAGGTCTGTCACTCCCTGCACTCTAGTGAGGGTCTCGAAACGAGTGACCGGAGCCTCCCAGGCGTCCCAGAAGAACGGGTGAATGGTGGGAAATTCGGGCCAGACAGGGGGGGTTCTTGCTCCACTGCCCCATCCTGTAGAAATCACCCATCATGTCCAATGGGGGGGAGTGGGGGCAGCCAGCAGTAGAGGAATGCCCTTGTGGTCCTGCCACCTTTCTGATGATCTTCGGCAGATTGTGGAGCAGAGCCCTGAAGGCTGGAGGCTGACCGGCAGCAGGAGCGTGCTGCTGAGCTGGGGGAAACTCGTCTCTGCTGGTATCCATGTCCACCGATGGGTCGAGGGGAGAGCCGGGGGAGCCAGCGATGAAATGAAGCAAGTCAATGGACTCAGACCCACCTATGCCAAGGAACTCCAGGGGGCCATCTGCCAAGGGATCGTCACCGTGGTTCGCCCAGCTGCTGTCATCATCAGGATCTGATTGTTGATGGCTACGAACACCTTAGCCCAGCGCAGCTTCTCTGCCGTGGGCAAGCAAGCACAGAAGTGGCAAGCTGCCTGGGGGAAAAGAGCCAGCTCGGCGTGCTCTGTGCCGAGGCAGGCCTCACAGTGGGGGTATAGGTTGCTGGGCATGATGAAGCTCAAGTCACAACCTGGGCACACAGTGATAGCAGTGTGGCTCTGGAGTCCAGCATTCGATGTTCTTTTCTTTTTAAACATATTCAGGAATTGCTCTTGTAGACTACTGAAGAAAAAGAGGGAGCTGATCTCAGGTCACATTGGCATTTATGCCACCACAGCGGACCTGATTGGGGACAGCCCAATGCAGGGCACAGGGTGTGAAAGAAATCTCTTCAGGACTGCACATGCGTGAGGGTTAAACCCAATAGCAACAACTCTTAGAGGGTAAAGCCTATACGAAATAGAATAGAATGACTGTCCTTTCAGCAGTAGTAGTTTCTTTGACTTTGGTTTCTTCTGTGGCCTGTGGCTTCGGAACAGAGTGCTGTGTGTGAATGACACAGGTGTCTCTTTACTCTGTGTCCTCCTGTAACAGAATGAATATTACTGTAGGTTGGACTTCCTGTGGAGGGACAAGTTCAAGAGAGAGTGTGAGGAGATCGAAACCATGGAGAACCTCAACCGGGTTCTGCTGGAGAATGTTTTACCGGCCCACGTCGCCGAACACTTCCTGGGACGCAACTGGAAAAATGAGGTGAATTCCCAAGAGAAGATGACAGTTTTACACTATATATTTTGAGTGGTGGTACTTATATTTCAGGGTTATTTTTAATATGTAGAGGTTAAAAGAATAGTTTTAAACTTTGGGAAATACACTTTCATGAAGCTCATAATGTATGTACTGTATGTTAAATATGTAGTTGGAGCCTGAAGCTGGTTAGCTTAGCTTAGCATAAGTACTGGAAATGGGGAAACTGTTAGCTTGGCTCTGATAAAATCTGCCACCCACCTTTAACCCTCATAATTACCTCAGCCAAGAGTGGGGGTTGTGTTTTTGCTGGCATTTGTTGTTTGGTGTTTGCTTGTTAACAGCCTAATTCAAAAGGTAATGAACAGATTTTGATGACATTTTTGTAGGGGTAGGGTATGGCCCACAGAACAATTGACTAGATTTTGGTGCTGATCTGTATTGGAATTTGGATGCAGGACTGTTTAAAAGATTCTTGACCATTGCAAGTACTGAAAAGGCTGTTGACTGTATGTGAGCCCCAAAGTGATGTGGCTGCACTGCTAAGTGCTCCAAGCACATACATGTTGGGGGAAAGAGGTTATTCTATCCAGCGAGAGCCTGATGGTGGAGATTTTGAACCAGGATTAATGCTGTCAACATTTTCATCCATAAGACTGATATGCCATTTTATTATGTGTTGATATTTTTTCAGGTGACATAGTAACCAGATTGAGAATTAGATTAAGAATACACGGTCAGGCAATCCCAGTTTAAAAAATTTCTTTTGGAGATGTTTTTCTTGAACAACCTCCAAGCTAATAATGATATAAGTGCCATTCCAAATGCCAGCAGTAGGTTTTCATGGTCAAGCAATCATATTATGAGGGTCAAACTATCATGGGAATATTGCTGTTATGGCACTATGAGGAAACTGGGTTGCTCTTTGGTGGAGGTCTGCACTCTCTGAGTGCTGCTAGTTTACACTTTGTATCTCTTATGTGTCTAAGAATATGTGTTCCCATTTGACTACCAGAAGAAGAGAATGAGTTTGGACACATCTTTCTCTTTCACATCATGTGCTACAGTATCTTTGCCTCATGTCTTTTCACCATTTCCAGTCTTTTTCCTGAGCTATGCTAACTGGCTGCTGGTGGTATAGCTTCATATTTATGTTCACACCTGAGTGGTATTGACCCTCTCATGTAGCTCTATGTTAAGTAACAGAATGGTTACATTTTCCCAAATGTCATACTATACTTTTAAATATGAATAATTAAATCTAATGTATGTGCTGTTAATTCACATCTTTTGTCAGCATATTGTCGTATTTCCTGCACTGTTATACAGTGCATTCATCATTTTATTGTATAGTATAATTTAATAAATACATTTTCATTGACTCTTCTTGCTCTACTGTTGTTGCATGGTGTTCTTGCACACTGTATGTGCTGTGACTGATGCAGCCTAACATACTTTCCATACCTATATTTCTCCTGAATTCACTCCAGTGCTGTACATTCTTGAACAGACTCTGTGCCCTCATTTGCTCTATTCTTACTTCTGTCTGTCCTGTGATGAATGCTGTTACTATTTTACTGCAGCGCTGGTCCAGTGTCCCCACAGAGATGATAAATTTTATCTTATTTATTTTACGTGTCAGCGTCATTGTTCAGCGTGAAGTATTCAGTTCATAGATCTTCTTTCTGTCTTGGTGACTCACTGAAATCATTAGTCTTCAACTCTCCTTCACTGGCGATTGATCAATACAACACATCCAGCCGTTATCCTTTGCTTGCTTGTTTTCAGGATCTTTATCATCAGTCATACGACTCGGTGTGTGTGATGTTTGCCTCCATCCCAGACTTCAAAGAGTTTTACACCGAGTCTGATGTCAATAAGGAAGGACTGGAGTGCCTCCGTCTTCTCAATGAGATCATTGCAGACTTTGATGAGGTAAACCCCCCTCTCCTTTTGATAATTCTGGCTGACTGACAATGTGAAAAAACATTGCTTACTGCCTTTTTGAGAAGAAATCGCACTAACAGGAGAAGCACAAAATGTACCAGTATTTGGGCTGCCAGTGTTGGTGTTATTTTCTGCTCCTGTTCATGCTAAATTATGCACTGTACTCCTCATGTGTCTCCAGCTGCTGTCCAAACTTAAGTTCAGCGGAGTGGAGAAGATAAAGACCATTGGTAGCACCTACATGGCTGCAACTGGGCTAAATGTGACACCGGGACCAGAGTCTGCACAGGCAAGCACATGCACTCATTTTCTCTTTCTTATACACGCAGACAGTGTTTAATGTTTCCTCCACATCAGATCCACAGTGGCATAGTTGAGGTTAAAGCCCAAAATGTAGAAGACAAAGGGCAAGAGAATTATTTGCACATGGTGAACTTATTTCAGAGTGCCGCCTGGACTCTCATTCACTAAACATTTTTCATTTGTAGTCACAAAACAGAATACTTAAGTATCAACATATTTGTTGCTGTCCAGATACATGTAGAAGCTTTGTTTGGGTTGCTCCTTAAAATGTGCTACGCATAGTGCAACATTCAAGCATCAGTGACTCATTACTACACTCACTTGAATGCATCAGTGTAGTCACTAGAAGCAAATGAGATCACCACGCACAAATGTGGAAGCACATTGTTTTGTAAAGGAAATCTGTTTAATTAAGCATTCACTAAGCCCCACACCCCACCCCACCCCACCTCCTTGTTGTTGTGCCTTTCATGCAGCACACATCACTGTTTACAATGGCAGACAGAATTATCATTTGGAAATTTATAGTAATGTTTGAGACAGAGGGTTGTTGATTTTAGACAGATGCGTCTGGCTTCTCATTCTAGCTGCTGATTTTGCTGAATGAAATCACAGACAGATTAATTAGCTATACAAGCTAGTTAATTGTTGATAACTGCTTTTGTTATGGTTTAGTCCCCCTCACCAGGAGGGTGAGGGAGAACTGAGGTAGGACACAAGAGTGCTGACCTAGGTGCTAGTAAAAAAGGAGGTTTAATGGTGCGCATCACAAAAAGGAACAGAGTTGAGGAACACATACAACCAGGGCTGAGCAAATATGGCTAAGGACAACAGGACGACCAGGGGAGAAGACAGGCTAACGGCAAAAAACAGGAGAGTGAGGATGAAGATGGACAGGTGAAAAAACAAATGAACCAGAGGACTGGTGAACGAAAAAGAAATCCACAGCACAGGAACTGTCAGTGTGGACGTCTAAAGACGTGCCACATACCACGCCTATAGGTCAGTTACGGGGTATGCAAATTATGTATGTTAACTTAATGCTCCGGCGACAACGGAGCGTCTGCCAGAGGTATAAGTAAGGAGGACAGGTAATCATCAGGATGCACCCCAACTGTGTGCACCGACAAACGAGTCGCTAATTACGAGTGCAACACAGCTGAGGTGCAGAGCCCGCAGGTCGAGAGAACAGAGGAGAGAAAGGCGGAAGAGAGGCAGGTCTCGCCAAGCGGACCTGACAACTCTTTTGGCTTGAAGGTACTACATACTATAGTGTATCCAGGCATGCTAACACTAGCTTGCGCTAGAGCAAGTAAAAATACTGTTTAATCCATTTCTTATCAATTTTTTTTCTTTGATTTTGGAAAGGCAATAAAAAAATACACCACCCTTCAAACTATGTAAATGCTGAGTGGTGCTCTTTTCAGTCCTGCTCACTCATCACTTCATCATGTCCAGAAACCCAAAGTTTGACAGGCCTGCCATGCCTACCAGGGTTGCTGAATTATGATTAGAAAATGTCTGATCCAGGTAGGGGCTTAGCATATTTGCACTGTGCAGCTACATCTCAAAATGGGGAAAAAGGGATGTTCTTTTCATTGCATGCATAGCTGCAAATCTGTTTACACCATTTACATTGCAAATGATTATAATAATTTGAGGATGACATTTTGATGTTATTAGCATCTTTTTTAATCTCCCCAGGAACATGACAGACAATACATGCATATAGGCACAATGGTGGAGTTTGCTTTTGCTCTTGTTGGAAAGCTGGATGTCATAAACAAACACTCCTTCAATGACTTCAAACTCAGAATTGGTAAGAACATTTTTTTCATTTTCACTTTTTCTTTACATTTATGAACAGAATTGATCTTTTGTAGAGTTTATTTTAGGAGAATTAGTCAAGTAATTTGTGATTTGGTATTTCATGCTAGGGATAAATCATGGGCCAGTGATTGCAGGGGTTATTGGCGCCCACAAACCTCAGTATGACATCTGGGGAAACAGTGTGAATGTGGCCAGTAGGATGGAGACCACTGGGGTGCTGGGCAAAATACAGGTGAGATGTCTTACAAAGTACAGGTGCATGCCTTCCATTGTGGGAGTAAACCTCTTCTAGTCACATGTCTTTCTGCCCATACAGGTAACAGAGGAGACGAGTCATATCTTATCAACACTAGGGTACATGTGTTCATGTCGTGGAATTATCAATGTGAAGGGAAAAGGAGAGCTGAAGACCTACTTTGTTCACACAGAGATGTCCCGATCTCTGTCACAAGGGACTGTGATGCCTTGAGTACCACACACTAACTTAACAAGTAGACTTGAGAAAACAAAAACACATAAGTGGCCATAGAAGTGATTTGTTATGCTCCATAACTAAAACCCATTACTAGCAGCCAGCAGTTCAATGCATAGACAAATGTCGAGAAACACTTCTGTCCTTAGCAACACAATGTAGAGCAGGAAGGAGCTGCATTGCCACAGTCCTTTAATGCTGCACTTCTGATGTTTTCACATCTCAAGTGTAACATGGTCTTCGCTCCGAGGAGCCTCCTCACTGTCTAAAGCAATGCCTGACTAAAGAGAGGTACTAAATTAGTGCAGCTCTCAAGGAACACATTCACCGTCTGTATAATAGTAGTGGTGTGGAGCTAATTACCCATGCCAGCATTGCAGTGCTTAGAGCCTTCTACATGAGCAAACTGAGCTGTCTGCTGTGTGTGTGTTTTTTTTATCTGCCTGGTTGGCAGTGTGAGCCAGTTTGTTCCACTTTATTCCAAATGGATGCTCAGTAGTTTATTGTCATATAGAGCAGCTGATGCCAACAAATTGCCATTGTGATGGGGTAGTTTGCCAAAACCTGTTACTTGTATTTATAGCTTTATATCTGCAGTTGTATCTCACTGAAGAGTACACAGAATTCCAGAGGACAGCAGAGGTTTCTTTTTTTTTATAGTCCACGGAAACCACACTAACAGCAACATGTGTAAATGTTCACTGCCATCCTTTTGTTATTCATTAAACATTTGTATATTAACTCCTCTGCCTTTGTGTCTTTGCTTTAGTGCTTAAACACAAGTGCACCATGAAAGATGTACTGTATAACAGTCACATGATGTGCTCAAACAAGAGTCAAAAGCTTGGAAAATCATAAGTTTGAATGATCACAGACAATAATGGCACTCTTTTGTTTTGTTTTTTAATTGTAGTTATCTAAAAGGCCAGAATGCAGTACATGTCTCCATTTTATAGTAGGTTTAGTACCAGTGTAGACAGTGTATTTTTTATAGCAGTATTCCGAAAATACCTTAGAAAAAATCAACTGGACTTAGATTTCTAGATCGAAGACGTTTCACCTCTCATCCAAGAGGCTTCATTAGTTCCATCTAAGTCCAGTTGATTTTTCGGTTTACAATGACCTGTATGACTGAGAATTTGCACAGACTTAAAGCAGTATTTCACCAATTTGTGAAATACACATTCTGGTGGTGAGTTTGATGAGAATACTGATTGCACTCTTGAACTTTCCTGTTAAACATAAAAGCTGCAGGCATTTGGTGTAGCTGAGCACAAAGACTGGAAACTGGGAAACAGCCAACTTAAAACTGCAAATTACAGATAAAACAAGATATAGCATGTTAATTAGTGTGCTTCAGAGGCGCTGGTAGGCGGTTACTTGTTACTGTGCTGAGACAGGTTAGCTGTTTCCCCATATCTCCAGCCTTTGTGCTGAGCCAAGTGGCTGCTGTAGCTTCATCTCTGTTGTATCCATCTTCTTACCTCACTCTGTGCAGTGAGTGAATAATAGATGTTTCCCAAAATATCTATTCTTTTAAATATAAAGTAATGGCTTACAAATACCAATTCTTAGTGTTAATACTTTGCACAAATACTTAAAACTTGATCAGTTTTTGCAGTGATCTGAAGAAAAGAATGTGCACAATGTTTCATGAAGAATAGACATAATTCTTTTGTCAATATACATATGATGTCATAAAGACTGTGCAGTTGATGTAAGAATTTTCTGGAGGACTTTGCAGGAATCTGTAAGGATGAATCTCCTGATTTGGGTGTGAAACCATTGCTTTGCAAAGGTGTTATTTACCCAGTACTAATCTGTATTACAACACCTTTACTTCACTCTATTTTTCTCTTCATACTTCTAAATCACCACATTGTGTATTAGCTCCTAATCCTCTTAAATAAACACCACAGTTCTAACACCAAGCAGAGCATTCCTACAGTACTTGAGGCAGGTTTACTCAGTAAGAAATCATTTGAAGAATTGATATTATTCCTGTCACCCAGGACATTCAGTTTCTTAATGAAAACAACTGATACACCGAGGACAAAAACCTGAACACTAACACTCTGAGATTTGATATCATGTGCAATATTCAGCTGCAATACTTGGAAGATCTCTTTTGATTCATAGACTGTCTGTACCAACTGAATCTTTAAATGGCATTTATACTGATGGAGTGACTTCAGCTTAGAAAATGTAGTTTAAGTGTCCTACAAAATGCCACTGTCTCCATATAATCCAGTTTGGTCTTTAAGCATTTAGACACACACTGTTCCACTAAAGACACCTATTAGTCTTGATAATTACCTGTTCATATTACAGAAACATATAAATGTCATCTGATTATATTATGGTTTAAATGTTACTGTGGATCCATTAAGTGAAGTACACTGAAATGTACACTCTACAACACTGGTTTATCATTCAAAGCTTCATTTATCATTCAAACCAACACTTTGATCGCATACTTTTAAATAGGAGCCACTGATCCGTAGCCTTCAGCCACATTCCAGATGATCCCATTTTTCATGAAAAATTCCGCTTTTATGCAAGCCACACGTGCATACTGTCGGTTTGTCTGATAGAGAACAGGAACAGGTCGGCGCCCGTATTCTGAAGAGGACAGCACTGGCACAGGTCTGGACTTCTCCTGGGAATGAACAGTACAACAAGGAGTAACAAGGACCAACCACCAACACTGATAAAATGTTTAATTTAACGTATAGCAATGTATACATTAAACAACTCAAAATTCAGTATTATAAGCACAAAATGACTTTTGAGTCATTTTCAGTTTGTTTTGGATATCATTTGATATGGCCATGCCACACGGCATGTATCAGGTAGTTTTGTTGTCTGTACTAAGAAGTAGCTGTTTACTAGTGCCATTCTGATTCACTGAGCCACCTTTAGCCCCAAAATCCGCCCTGTGAATGTTTTCAGGTGTTATATTCTATTACTGCACTGAACCTACTACTGTTCCAGTGCACTGCTATGGGTATAATGTTTGATACCTTACCAAAAATAAGAAGATACAATCACTGCAGTTGAAGCAAAGGTACTTGTACTTTGCTAGAGCTGAGATGAAAAGATGATTGTTGGTCTCCCCTCTGTGCCTTAAGTTTTTTAGAGCACACAGTACTGCCAGAAATCAGTCCTAATGAATGGAACTATTAGCTACACTCTAATGTTATATTTAGAAAAACCGAAGAACATATGTTGCTCCATTTTATTTAGGGCAGCAGTGTGTCTAACTGTGTCCCTGTTTCCGGCTGTGACAGAGTTACCGGAGGGTTTATATTTTCATCAGCTTTCATCATCAGGAACAGTAACAAAAACAACACACCTGCATTATTCTCTTAATATTTTATATAAGCTGTCACCAGCACTGACAACCAACCACTCAACTCACTGTAATTACAAACCCAGCAGTGTGTGTGTGTGTGTGTGTGTATGTCTGCTTTGTTCCCCACACACTCTGCTCTCAGTGACCCAGAAACTCACTGCGAGCTAGTTTTCTTGACATGAATAATTACTCTGTGGAGATAAAATGGCTTCAAAAGGACCTATAAAACTGACATGATAAAAGTGTTAACAATAATAAATATGGAGCGTTTATAAATGTAAGCTTTTATGGAATATCCTGTCACTTCCTTCTATGAAGCGCTCCAAAATCATTACTGCAAATATCATCTGAAGCTTGAAAAGTCTGAAAGAATAAGCAGGACCTTCTTCTGGTGACTATATGATTATAATGTCCAGGTTTGTGTGCCAAGTGTGGAGGTGGTTAGTGCTGAGGTGATGTCCACTGACATCATTACTGGAAAAATTAAGTGTAATGCATTAGTTTAACTACTCATTATGTTAATTTTGCTTTACACCGTACCATAAAACAACTATGCAAGGTTCTTTGTGTCACTTGTGTTACTCATGTGTGCTATACATTTTAATGTAGAATGTAAAAGCATAATATAATCACCTTTCTGAGTCTGGAACATTGTTTCTAACTCCATTAAAAGAAAAACTATGATAAAAGTAATGTAGTCATTTTCACCTTGTTAGTAGTACAGTTAGTAGTACAGCTGATTCAATGGTGTGTAATAAATAAATATTTGTCATTTTTTCTGGTTCCAGCTTCTCAAATGAGAGAATTTGATGTTTATGTTTGTTGTGTTTATTATATCTTTGGGTTTTGGACAAGACATTTGAATGAATCATTTTGGGCTGTAGGATATTATAGCAAGCATTATTATTTATTTATTTAGACAATTTTCTGTCATTTTACAGACAAAAAGATTCATTCAATAATCAAGAAAATAATCAGTAGATTCATCAACAATGGAAACTGTCATGGTTTTGGTTTAACTTCCTGTTGTTGTTTGTTTTGTTTTTTTTTGCTTTTATTTTGAAGTTATTTCCTGTCTCTTGCTTCCTCACCAGCCACATTTTACACTGCCACTGATTCTTCACAGTCGCTTTCACCTGTTCACCTCACTTCCCTCACTCTGTTACTGGTTCGTCCTGTACTGTCCTCTGTGCTGTTCTTGCCTGTGTTTTCCTTTCGGTATCTCACCCCTTGTGTTTTATTTCTGGTTTATGGACTTTGGCTTCCCCTCGCACCTGGTTAAGTTTCTTTTCTTTGTTTTTCTTTTCTTCTATATTTTCCTCTTGTGTTTTCCCTTAGCTGTAATTTGGTCAGCTCACTGACTGATTTAGTTGTATCTTATCTTCTAGTTTGTCATGTACTTTCATGTCACAGCTTCTTTGTTTTTTTGCTTTTTTTTGCTTGTTTGTTTATTGCTCTCATCTAGTATTCATTATGTGAGTTTTAATGTTAGTTATCCTTCCTTTGTTATCATAATATGGTTTTTGTTGCCTGCTTACTTAATTTGTTGCTCATTAAAGCCTTGTCTGCTGTTCTAGTCTCTGAGCTTCATCTACATTTGGGTCCTCATTTGAGAAACTGTAACATGAAAAAGGTTGTTAGAGGTCTCCCTCAAAAAAAGATCTTGAACCAGAGATGCTGCAGTTGGACCTACAAGTAATGAAAAGTACTAGCTGCATGGCTAGTCATTTAATTTATTTTTCTAGTCTAGTTCACTGACATATTGTATCTTTTAACCTGTGAGGTTTGTATAACCTGCTAAAGTATACATAAAATTCAACAAATAACATTACATTTGTTGATTTATAATAGACCTAAGCAATGACTGAAATCCAGATTTTGTTTTTAGAAATTACAATACAGCCCTGGAACAAAATAAAGTCCAAGGCAAACTTTGGTTCACTAAAGGATTTTGAAAAGTGGCTCATAAATACTTAACAGACAAAATAACAAATTCCTGATTAAGTCAGCTCAGTCCTTTAGTTCCACTCTAGTGTTTCGGTCACTGGCCTTACTGAGGCCAGGTTAAATACACTTATCTTTGGTCATCAGCTATAGCTAAAACAGTTAAATGTTAGTTAGATGCTTAAGAATGAACATGGTGGTCACTACCTCCTCGTTTATGTTTAGTCCTCTTCCTTTATCGTGTTTTCTGTCTTCCCTGTGCAGTCTCATGTCATAACCCTCAGCCTGGTGGTGTACCTGGTCATACATGGACATTTCTGGGACCTACCAATAGTGACAAAGTAAACAAGTGTTTAACATTGTATGACTGTCCTCTATCTCCAGTGACAATACAACAAATAGCATGCTGGTGCATCAGTCACCAGTAGTATTTTATTAATCATTTCAAAATAATGTACAAGTGATGCTCATGTTAGTTAATATCTTTATGGGACAATAGCTCCTTTTATGGCTTCAGGATTTTATTTTCTATATTTAAAAGATATTCATTTTATGAATTAGATGTTAATCCTTTTGTTCCTTCATTCAGAAATGTTCATTTTCAAATCATTTGGCTAACAATTTAGTTTGCTGTGAGGGAAAACATCAGAAAACCCCTAAGGGAAGTGAAAAATGTGTTAATGAGTTAAAATATCCTCTAGCTACTGTATATTCTGGGGTCGTAATTGTATCTAAAATGTTACAACAATATTTCCTGATTTGCTAGTTAACAGGTTAACAGCTAGGGTGGCTAACTGTTTAGCATGATCAAATTAGCCTTGACTTCTGTTGCCTAGACCGCAGTCAACGCACTCTTCAAATATCTAGCCTACTAACGCTATTTGGAGACTCTGTGACCAGCGGGAATGCCACTTTAATATGTTTTCTATTGTCATATTGCCACAAGATCAAAATCAATTCTTTTCAGGTTGCTTAACTTTCTAAGTAGCTACATTAGCAGTACGATTAGCTTTGCACGGGTGACAAAGTTGCAGTTTCCAACTTCTTACCTTTGATTCTGTGTTAAAGTAAGAACTTTCTTTAGATTCATTTCTTCGGGTTGGGATGTAACTGAAAGCCGATAGGGTAGATAGCGGTTTGGTTTGTGCCTCGAGTGATACGTCCATCTCCTTGGCTAAAATCGCTCAGCAGAAGTTATAAAACGTCAGAAAACTATGTTACGTTCCCCGCTAGATGAGGCTGGCCGCTAGCGTCTATTGTTGCTAGGATACCGAAATCTGCTATGCTGCCTTCAAGAGCTCTTTGCTCACCTGTACTTCCGAGACTCAAAGTGCTAAACATAGCAAATGCGTTTTTTCGGGGACTGTGAGGTCTTTCCAACAAAGTTCATGTATGAATTAGTGGATGTAAAGAACAAGACTAGTGGGTGGCTGGTACAAGACATTTATCAGTGTGACACATTCAGTTAAATGTTTTTACCAAACTGCTATCAACTGCTTTTCCTGGGGCCAGAGCGGGCGACATTGAATCCTATTTGAAGCTGCTGACTAAGGATAAGCGTAAATACAGTAAGGTTGTTATTCACGTCGGCGCTAATGACTCCCGACTTCGCCAGTCGGAGGTCACTAAAATTAATGTTGAGTCGGTGTGTAACTTCGCTAAAACAATGTCGGACTCCGTAGTTTTCTCTGGACCCCTACCCAATGTGACCAGTGATGACATGTTTAGCCGCATGTCGTCATTCAACCGCTGGCTGTCTAGGTGGTGCCCAGAAAATAACGTGGGCTTCATAGACAACTGGAAAACATTTTGGGGAAAACCTGGTCTGATTAGTAGAGATGGCATCCATCCCACTTTGGGTGGTGCGGTTCTCTTATCTAGAAATCTGGACGAGTTTGTTTTACAACCTAAATTATGACAACCCAGAGTTGAGTCCAGGACACAGAGTCTTTGCAGCTGCTACCCACCCAAAACTGACAGTACCCCATAGAGACTGTGTCTACCCCCGACCACCTAAATTACTGTATATAAATCAAAAATATCCAGAGGAGTTATTCATAAGAACCTAATTAAAATTAAGACTACTCCTCTTATAGTGGAGAGTAATAGAACAATAAAATGTGGACTATTAAATATCAGATCTCTCTCATCTAAATCTCTGTTAGTGAATGATTTGATAAGTGAACATCACACTGATTTATTGTGTCGCACTGAAACCTGATTACAGCAGGAAGAATATGTCAATCTAAATGAATCCACCCCACCTGGTCACAGTAACTGTCACATCCCTTGAAGCACAGGCCGAGGTGGAGGCGTGGCAGTGATTTTCGACTCAAGCCTATTAATCAACCCTAGACCTAAACATAGTTATAACTTATTTGAAAGCCTCACCCTGAGTCTCTCACACCCAAGCTGGAAAAATTAAAAGCCAGTTCTATTTAGTATAGGCTTTGCCCTCTAAGAGTTGTCGCTATTGGGTTCATCCCTCCCGCATGCACAGTCCTGTAGAGATTCTTTCGCGCCCTGTGCCCTGTAATGGGCTGTCCTCAAACAGGTCCGCTGTGGTGGCATAAATGCTGGTGTGACCTGTGATTGGCTCCCTTTTATTTCAGCAGTCTAAAGAGCAAATCCTTCATAATGGCTAAAGAGCAAAGATACTTAAACGCACACGTCGTGGGGATGGCAGCACCCCCAACCTTCCCTGTTGGACTGGCGCAATCATGGTGGTCACCAACACCAAGCTAGGTGCCCAGCAGCCGCTGCTGCGCCACAGTATGCTTTACCGCCAGGCACCCCCCTGCATTCAGTGAAGTGCTAGAGACAGTTATGACATCACCAGCAGACTCCGCTGCATTGACAGTGGCTGGTGGAGATGAACAATGGCTGAGAAGACAGAGAAGACAATGGTGAGATGAGCAGTTTGTAGGACATGACTGTGCATCAACCTGACTAGTGGGACTGGCAGAGTAATGAGGCGTATGGTCCGGAGACGGTAATCCATAGGAGAGGTGGTCAGGAGGGACTGGAAAAGTGTGGTGTGGATGCTGAGAAAGACAAGACAATAATCCAGAAAAACGGCTAAGACTAGAAACAACTCAAAACAGAAAACACTATAGAAAATAACACGTATTGTGGGTTGTCGGCCTGGAAACAAGCAAACGAACTGGCAAGGGAGTGTGAAATGTTACAGCTGGTGTAATCAAGGAAACAAGTGGCAGGTGTGCAAGGTGACGTGATCAGGGACAGAAGAACACAGAGAGGGAGGTGAGAGGCAGGTGCAGCCGAGCAAACCTGACAGGACCCCCCCAAGGATGGATACCAAACAGACAGAACACCATCCCAGGGAGGGAGGCAGGGGCCAATGGAAGGAGGGCATCACCAGGGACCCCCAGGTTTGTCTGGATGGGCCCTGTAAAAAGCAGTTAAGAGGTCAGGGTCAAGAATAAAGGAGTGGGGAATCCAGAAACTCTCCTCCGGACCATAGCTTTCCCAGTCCACCCGGTATTGGAACCCCCAGCCCCTAAGGCGGACATCCAGAATTTGACGGACAGTGTAGGCAGGACCGCCGTCCACCTCCAGGGCAGGTGGAGGTGGAGCCGGCAGAGGACAGAGGGGACTTGAATAGATGGGCTTTATCTATGAAACATGGAAAATAGGGTCAACATGAAGGGAGTCAGGTAGGGCAACTTTAACAGCAGTAGGGTGTATAACTTCTTGGCTGGTGAAAGGCCCCGGGAATTGGGGAGACAGTTTGGGACATGCTCCCTTGATGGATATATGAGTAGCCGAGAGCCATACCTGTTGCCCAACCTGGTAAGTAGGAGTGGCCCGACGGCGGCAATCAGCAAAGCATTTATTTTGTTCAGCTGTACATACTAGGGTGGCCCTGGTCTTGTCCCAGACCTCCTGACAGCCACCCAAGGTAACAACAGACTCCAGTCTACAGGTAAGAACTGGTAACGTAGCGGAGTGCATTTTCCAGCTCCTGGTTCAACCGTTCAGCTTGTCCATTGGTTTGTGGGTCATAACCAGAAGAAAGACGAGGGCGAGGCCCAGTGGCTGTACAGAAGGTAGACCAGACGTGTGATGTGAACTGAGGACCGAGACAATGTTTATGGGGGTGCCGTGGATGCGAAAAACATGTTGAACCAGAAGCTGGGCTGTTTCAAGTGCTGTGGGGAGTTGTGGAAGTGCGAGAAAATGAGCGGCTTTAGAAAAACGGTCGACTATTGTGAGAATGACTGTGTTGCCTTGGGAGGGAGGCAGCCCGGTGACAAAATAGAGGTAGGCCAAGTTCTTGTGATTGGTCCAGACTAAAAAACGTTGGTCGGCACCCACGAGGAGGTGCCGCCATTTCTCTAATGCCAACTTAATGGCCAGCAGTTCCCAGTTACCTACATCATAAATGCTTTCGGCCAGGGTCAACCGTCGAGAGAAGAAGGCACAGGGATGCAGGGCATGGTCTCCCTCCAACAGTTGAGTGAGGACCGCTCCCACCCCTGTGTCAGATGTGTCCACCTCGACCCCACTCTGCCTCGAGGGATCGGGTTGGAGAGGTATGGGGGCTGTGGTGAACTGGTGTTTGAGTTCTTGGAAGGCCTGCTCCGCTGGCCTGGACCATGCAAACTTCACCTTGGTGGAAGTGAGCTGTGTAAGGGGAGCAGCCACCATGCTGTAGTTTTTAATAAAGTGGTGGTAGAAGTTTGCAAAGCCCAGGAAGTGTTGCAGGTCCTTCAGACAGGTGGGAGTGGGCCAGTTGGTGACAGCTGAGATCTTGGATGGATCAGGATAGAGCCTTCCCTGTTATGCCACGGAGGTGGAGTGGAAGATGCACTTCTCCGCTTTGACATACAGGTGGTTTTCCAGGAGTCGAAGGAGAACCAAACGTACGTGCTGGATGTGCTCTGTGAGCGAGCAAGAGTAAATGAGTATGTCATCTAAATAAATGAACAAATAATGGCCAAGAAAGTCACCGAGGATGTCATTGATCAACCCCTGGAAAACCCCCAGGGCATTGGTGAGGCCAAAAGTCATCACCAGATATTCAAAATGCCCTAGCAGGGTCTTGAAGGCAGTCTTCCAATCATTGCCTTCTCATATCCGCACCAGGTGGTAGGCGTTCCAATTTGGTGAAGACTGCTGTGCCTGGAGAGACTCAAAAGCAAAGGAGAGGAGTGGTAATGGATAATTGTTTTTAACAGTGATAGCATTTAAACCACAGTAATCAATGCATGGACGGAGGCCACAGTCCTTCTTCCCCACGATAAAGAATCCTGCACCCAGGGGTGAGGAAGAAGGACGGATCATACCTGCATGTCGGGCGGTGTCATTGTACTCCTCCAGAGCCCAACGTTTGGGTTTGGAGATGTGGAAGAGCCGGCTTTTGGGCAAGGTGCCTCCCAGATACAGGTTGAAAGCACAGTCATAAGGTCTATGAGGTGAAGTTGCTTGCTAAACATCTGTTGTAAATTATGATATTCCTGGGGAACGGAGGATAAGTCAGGCAGTTCAGGTGACGGGGACTCAGAGGGAGTGATGGAATGTCCCGCCAGGAGATAGGTGGATGCACAGTTGGGACTCCACTGAGTGATGGTGCTGGTGGTCCAGTCCAGTGAGGGGTTGTGTTGGACCAGCCAGGAGTGACCCAAAACTAGAGGTGTATCCAGGCTGGAGATGATGTTGAATTGGATGTCCTCCTGGTGGTTGCTGGCGACGGTAAGATGGAGAGGCGGGGTCTGGTGTGTGATGTGGTCAACCAGTTGGCCGTCGATGGCCCGGGTCTCTATGGCACAGGGTAGTGGCTCTGGTGAAAGACCCAGTTGCTCCACCAACACCGGATCCATCAGGTTCCCTCCGGCTCCAGAGCCAATGAGCGCTTGGTGGGACATAGACCAGGAGGACGTCTCTAGGAGCACGGGGATGCAGCTATTACCTGGTGTGGTGGTACTGGAGGGATGGCCCGTCAGTGTTCCCACTCTCACTGGCAGGCCCGCACCTGTTATGGTCGCACACCACGCAAGGTGGTGTGACAGAAAAAAACGAACTCAGAGGGCTGACTTCACCATAAGCAGTATTTATTTAGTGCTGTACAAGGCAAGGAGTGCTATAACGTGACATAACTATAGAGACCAGAATGGATGGAATGGATGTTGACCACAAGAAGGCAGGAAGAAGGTAGTTGCTGGGCCAAGCTGGGGAGCGTGAAGGTCACTCACTGGCTGGTTGAGTGGAGGTGGATGAGGCTGAAGAGAAGGGGAGAAGGGGAGAAG